GTACAGTATAGGTGGTACCTTGCTGAACAGTAGTAACTGTGAAAGGGATCTTGGAGTCCTAGTGGATAACATTTAAATATGAGTCAGCAGTGTGCAGCAGCTGCCCAAAAAAAAAAAAAAAAAAAAGCCAACAGTGGAGAAAGAGCCAAACCTTAGATCAGCATTTGCCAACCTTTCAAACTGAAGAGGAGTGTACTTCAACTCCCAGAATTCTCAAAAAATTCTGTGGCTGTGAAATTTTTGGGAGTTGACGTCCATAGACTTGGAAATTGCCAAGATTGGAAAACTTTTCATTAGCCTGTTGAATTTCTGTGTGTCTGCTATTCCAAACTTCAATGGACTATGAAAAATAGAGAGTTTGATGGGGCCCAATGCCCTGCTCAGTCCAGGAACCCAAGTTAAAGCATGGCTGACAAAACTGCTGCCTGACTTTTCTTTACACATATCTAATGCAGGGAGCCCACATCTCTGGGTATTTGGCTTGAACTGCTCTTACTTTTAGAAAATCTTCTACATAATTCAGTCTGCCTGCTTTGATCTACCTTCCTGTAACCTGAGAGCTTTTTCTTGTGTTCCATCCTTGGGAGATGAAGAACAGATTTTTAATCTCTTTTTTTTTGTGAGATATTCTTTTAGGTTCTTTCACAAATATACAATGTTCCTCCAGTTTCTCTCCAAATATGTAATTTAGTGGCTGAACAACCTCCTTTAATGTGTATTGCAAATTCTAAGTCTTCCTTAAAAGCATTTAAGCATTTTGTTCTCTACTTTCAGTCGGCAGACTGAGACCGGCTCAGTCACAACAACTCTCCCTCAAGGATCGCTAAGCAAAGAGGTGGTGAAATAAAATGTGCCTGATTTATGACCTTTTTTTCCTGACCAGATTGTTGTTAAGCAAATCAGTGCAGTTAAGTGCAACTTGTGGTTGTTAAATAAATCCAGCTCTCTTCACTGATTTTGTCTGTTGGAAGCCGGCTGGGAAAGGAGTAAATGGGGATCATATGACCCCGGGACATTACAATGATTGTAAATACATGCCGGTAGCCAGAATTTGGATCACTAACCATGGGAATGTTGGGGAAGTTATAAGCGCGAGGACCAGCCATAAGCCGTATTTTTCAGTGCTGTTGTAGCTCTGAACAGTCTTTAAATGAATGGCTATAATTCGAGGACCACACGTACTTCGTCAGCAAGGCTCCAATGACACCCAAGGAGAAGGAAAGAGCCCCGAGAGCCGTTTCGCTTCCCCAGAGGACGGCCTCTCAAGGTGCACGTCCTTAACTTTGACCCACCTTACTGTTCTCTTCATCAGAGGATCGCATCTCTTGGCGTTGTTCTTTAAAGCCCCAGATGGGCACGGAGACAGGGAGGGATTTGGCATACTGATGGCTTGGGGGTAGAGGAACTGTCTGTCCTGGAGCCTCCTCACTTAGACTTCCATCTGAGAGAAAATGGGGATTCGGGGGGGG